GCAGCAGCAGATGCAGCAGCAGCAGGGGAGGCTGCTGCTGTCTCTCGAGGCAATTCTGCTGCTGCTGCTACTGCTGCTGCTGCTGCTGCTGTTTCGTTTGTCTCATTCCTGTTTATTTCGCTGTGCGTTTGCTGCTGCATCTGTTGCTGCAGCAACAGCTGCTGCTGCTGCTGCTGCTGCTGCTGCAGCTGCTGCTGCTGCTGCTGCAGCACGAGCTTGTTGGTATACTCCCAGCAGCTGTGTTTATATATTCTTTTTCTTACTGTCTTCCACAGCTTGTTGGGGTTGAGGGGCAGCAGCTTGTCTTTCTTTATCTGCTGCAGACAGCAGCAAAAGGTAGCAGCAACGAGGTCCTGCGGCAGCAGCTGCAGCGCAGCAAAGCTGCTGCTGCTGCACGGCAGCGGCTGCAGCAGATGCTGAGGAGGAGGCTTGCTGCAGCAAGAACAAGGAAGAGATAAATATACAAAGGACCATTGGACTAACCGACGCTCTGCTGCTGCTGCTGCTGCTGCTGCTGCTGCTGCTGTTGCTGCTGCATCTCCTCCTGCTGCTGCTGCTGCTGCTGTGCTGTCGCTACAAGCCAGCAGCTGGCTTCCAATGCCGCAGCATAACTGCTGCTGCTGCTGCTGCTGCTGCTGCTGCTGCTGCTGCTGCTGCTGCTGTGTGTAGGGGGCCGGGGAGGCAGACTTGAGCTGAAATATATCCGCCCCCCCGCAAAGAGGAACGACTGGCATCAGGGGGTCCAACACACCTTCAGCAGCAGCAGTTGCTGCTGCAGTTGCTGCAGCAGCTGTTGCTGCAGCAGCTGCTGCAGCCGTTGCTGCTGCTGTTGCTGCAGCTGTTGCTGCTGCTGTTGCTGCAGCTGTTGCTGCAGCTGTTGCTGCTGCTGTTGCTGCTGCTGTTGCTGCAGCTGTTGCTGCTGCTGTTGCTGCAGCTGTTGCTACAGCAGCTGCTGCAGCAGTTGCTGCAGCAGCCGCTGCAGCAACTGCTGCAACGACGGCAGCAGCAGGCTAGCTGGTTTGTCTGGGGCTTAGGTGCTGCGCATGCAGCAGGGAGCAGCAGCAGCACGAAACCCTGATGCATGCATGCAGCTGAAAGAGCAGCAAAAGATGTAAACGTCTGCTGCTGCTGCTGCTGCTGCTGCTAGAGGAGGAATGTCTGGGGGGTGGTGAGGTTGCTGCAGCAGGGGTGCTGGGGGTGGCGTGTGCACGGATATCTTTTGTATATACAGCTGAAATTAAAATAATTTATTTAATTTTTTATTTTTTATTTAAAAAAAAAGAAATAAAGCCAGTGGTTAGGGTTTGCCTCTCAGGTGTATACGCAGCTCAGCAGCAGCAGGCGGTCGTGCTGCAGCAGCCCCGTACCGGCTGCTGCTGCTGCTGCTGCTGCTGCTGCTGCATGCGGCTGTGTTGCTGCGAGGGGAAAATAATAAAATATTTTGAAATAAATAAATAAAAAAAGAAAATTTAATATATTTAATTTTTTTTATACAAAAAAAATATGAAGAGAAGCAGCAGATGAAGGTGCTGGGGTTGAGGCAGCAGCCGTGACACACACCACCGGAGCTGGGTGTTTTTTGTTCGTTTCGTTTTATTTAATAAATTTATTTTTTTTATTAAATTAAATTTTAAATAAAAATATAAAATTAATATTAAAAAATATATTCAGAGAAAAACACACAACACCAACACCGCTGCACAGCAGCCCTCGTATCATTCATTCTTTCTCCT